AAAGAATCATTTCATAGTTTCCAACTGTATCTGTTTAGTATTAGCTTTTCCCCTTTGCTCTCCTCTTACATCGCAGAAGAACTGAAACACTGGGTAAGGGGGTTGGTGTTTTTTGTTCGTTTGGGTAGTTTTTTTTGCTTTGTGGAGTGTGTAAGAGATGAGTTCAGTTTGGTCGGAACTGCAGCACACATTAATCTGCCTGCTCGGTAGTTATTATAAATGGAGCTGAAGCACCTAAAAAAATCAGTGCCTGCATGCAGATTTTCTCAGTTGAGGAAAGCAGCTTGCTTACATACAGTAATTGGACTTGTGACAGGTAATTAAATGGCTTGTGGGGCCTTTAGGATGTGTAATTACGTGAAAAGCACAATGGCAATACACAGTAAATGGAATGGCTAAGAACACTGTTCATCTGTTGATTAGTGAGATAGTAAAACTCCTGCACTTCATTGGAGGGGAAGAAGAAAATAAAAACAAAAGACTGAGCAGTGGTGACATAAAATGGCAGCACACAAAGAACAGGAGAATGCACTTGGAAACTGGGTTGCCTTGGTTATTTTAAGTCAATCATGCTTACCTAGACTGTCAACTCTTGACTGCTTCAGTATATCATTAAATAATGAATTGTTCTTTGTGATCACAAAATTGATAAAACAGGCAGAAGTATTCAGCAAGGGATGGGAGTTGTTTTCTTTCCAGAGCTTATTCATATATAATTAGAAATGGAACTGATATTCCAGGAGATATTAAGCACACATGTGAACATGACATGTTAAAGTATTCAAATTAAATTATCAGCAGCCTAACCACAGTCCGTGCTATTATTGCATTGACTTGTAAACACACAGCTTGATATGTGCAGCTGCTTACCTATAATTATAGGACTAAGCTGCGATGTGATAAAGCTAAAATGCATTAAAAATCTTTGGAATACTTGTCAAAATAGAGATAGTTTTACAAAGCAGCTTTGTAATGTTCTTTAAATAGCCTGATACAAAAATGTCTGTCTTCGTTTGCTGCGTGTTTATGTTCATAGTCAGCAGCTTGATCACTGGGAGAAGGAAGGCAGTGAGGGAAGAGCCTGGATACAAACAGAAAAGTCTGCTTTGTGGTACTGAGACCGTGAAGCCAAAGGAAATGATGTTGGCCTTTTCTCAGTGCTTGCAAGTACGTTGCTTCCAAAGGAGCTTGAACCAGACCTAAGGCAAAACATGAAGAGGAAAAAAAAAAAAACCCCAAATCCCTCAGCAGAGGCTCTGATCTGAGCCCTCTATCACCTCCCCAAGGGCCTTTCTGAGTGGTCTCTTAGTGCCATCCACTCGGAGGCCGCTCCACAGGCCTCCGCTTACATTCCTCCTGCCTGCCTAACAGGACACAGAGCCCGAGCCATACAAGGCAACAGCTCTGCCCGCCAACACGCGCTGCCTCCTGGGCGAGCCCCCTGGCCGGCCTCCCAGACGTCTGTGGGTAGCTCCCACGCAGCCCCCGGGCTCCTGGGCCTGGGAGCCCCGGCCTTGCCCGGCGCGGCCGGGAAGGGCTGCAGCAGCAGCGCGACGGCGGCGCTGCCGCTGCCACTGAAGATGGTGAAAAGGCCACGCACCCAGCGGGGCCCGGGTGCGCAGCCACCTCGGCCTGCTTGAGAACTGATGGGTCCCAAAGTGTCCCTGGGAGGGGATGTGTAGGAGTTGGCATCTCCTCAGCAGCACTGGAGAGCTAAAGGCAGGAAAAACGCCTGTAGCAGCGCTGCCTGCCTTCTGTTGTTGGAGGCAACTGCCCGTTTTTGGCACGGAGAGGAAAACAGGCTGACCTGCAGCATGTCAGTCGATGAGAATGCGTCAGACCTCGCTTGATTTTGCAGATGCCAGGTGGATTTGGAAGGACTGGCATTTAGGAAGGAAACAAACAGATAAATGAACAAGTCATTTTATCTTCTTCTAAATTTAAAGAGTGCTAGGAAGTAAGGCTATGGAACCTTGGTATTAACCGTTCGCAGAGTAAGCAGGGCAGATCTGTGGATCCTCCTATTTTTTTATGTACACATCTACCAATGTCGACATTTAAATGATCATCACATCATTAATGCACTAGATGTGAGTTAAAACCTTCCCAGACTTCAGAGTTGGCCATATTTTCAATGAAGAACAGTGTCCTTCTCCACCAAGAGAGCAACTACATGCAGGATTACACTGCAGTTGAAGCACTGTCCTGGTTCATTCCTTATAGGTAGTCAGGATCCACTCTAGGAAAAATATGTGATAAGCCATAATCATCTGCATCAAGAGCAAAGCTCTAATTAAAATTTCAGTAGGACAAGATAGGAAATCTGTCCTGATGAAACAATGTGCTTTATGGAACTGGAAGTATCTCACAGACATACTTCCATCATCTTTTCATTAGCCTGCAGAGATTTCATTTGGCACTGTAAGTATATGTGGATCCAGGTCTTCTATCTGTCCATAATTTCTACATCACATTTTTAAATGATACATAGTCTGTATCATTTATGTGCTAAGGCCTTCTCTTTTGTGGCTTTAGGATGTCCATTTGACCATGTAGAGTGCGTGGTAACTGCAGCCCATCAGGTGAGGGCCTGCTGAACACAGGCTAAGAGAATGCTGCAGGTTGTGGTAACCTGGATCAGGATGTGAATCCCAAAACAGAGATGGAAAAATGGAAATGCTTAGGTCTGGAATGGATCAGGGGAGGTCATCATGCTATTGCTCAGTGGAGCCTTTACTTCTGAAGAGTGAAGGTAATTCCCATCTGCCTTGTAAAATATCTTGTCATAAGTAGAATGGACGGTTAGGCAAAGTCTAAATGTAAGGTTATTTTATGTACAACTGATTTGCTCTTAAATCTTATCTACAGTGTAATTAGATTAACTGTTAAGATAATTATTGACAAATCAGGATGTACATACATTCCTCCAGAATAAGTCACTGTCGTGGCAAAAGTATCCTCGTACTTCACCCATATATGACAGAGTTGCTTGCCAGTATACTTGTGTAAATAAATTCTGGACAATATAGTGAGCAAAAGACCTGGTTGTGGTTGGAGAGCATTGCATAAAAATATCCATAGGGGCTACTGAGCTGCATAATCCCTTTATGCTGTAGGCTACAAGCTGAATTTGTGGCATTTCACAGAAGATGCTTTCCTGGCTAAGACAGTACAAGTTTGAGCTATCTCAGGCTCTGCTCTGTGCATTGATAAGATTACTCAGACCTCCAGGGGTGTTGTCAGATCAAAACAGGGTCCTTCGAGGCCAAAAATTAACAGGCCTTTCAAATGAATTTTGTATGTGTCATCAATGAAAATTTTAAGGTGGACAGATAGAAAAAAAAAAGCTGCCTACTTAAAGATAAACAGGAACTACACTGGAAAGCATAAGAGTATGCTTTAAAAAAACTGATAAAAGGAATTGTCAGTCAAAATGTTAGGTCAGACCAGCCTGAATTTAGGTGATTTTAAAACCTAACTTTTAAAACTGACAAATTTTAGGCTTAGTAGCATGAATAGAATGTGTCCACAACATTTCTGAGAAATAAGTGCATTTTTTAAAAGAAATTATAATGTTTTAAAGAATAGTTGTAATATTTTTAAAGAAGTTGCAGTAATCTCATAAGAATGTGCATGTTTCAGAAGCTGCCCTGAAGCCTTTAACTCAGTGCTGTCAAGATCCTTGTTACCTAACAAAAAGCAAGATTTTTTGAAAATTCACTGGTTTTTCAAATAGAACAATGTATATTTCCAATAGATGCCGAAGAGAGTTCACCCTCCAATTTTTGGACAGTGTCCACATGCACATTGTGCAGTGTCATCCCCTTTTTGGGAGGACTGCTTTTCTTTCATTTAAAATAAATAGGAGCAAACCCATAAACTCTGGCCAAAACTTTCTCCTGAGAATGGTGGTTCCCCATGGGGTTTCTCCCTGTAAAGTCTTCTAGTTCAATGTTTTTTTTCCCTGTCAAGCAGAGACCCCACAATATTTATAGGGGAAAGCTTAAAGGTCTGGTTGACAGACAGCATGACTTGGCAGAAGAACTCGGCATTTGTTTCCATAATCCTAACTGCTAATCTCCCCTTATACTTAGGTTTAAGGAATAAAAATACTACAATTTTTATTCATGAGGATTATTACTAATAATTACTAAATTAAAAGTCTTCTGGCATTATTCTACCTTGCAATTGTAGCATGCAGGCTCTTTGTCAGGGAAGGGGACGTGGAGGAATCTCAGTGTTGGGCTGCGTGGTTGCACAGCATTAGGCAGCTTATGGGAATCTAGCATTGGGGTTTGTTTTCTCTAAAAGTATTACTGCTTTCAACAGCATTAGGAACTCACACAAGTGCTCAGGTACACCTGGCACACACAGCCCTTCTGCATTTTGTGACTATGAGTGGGCTGAATGGGTGCCACAGGGAAGCTACATCTCCCTTCTGCACAAACCATCCATCCCTTCACAGCCTTTCTGGGTGGCACTCAACACATTAAAACATTAAAATACTCCCAACCTCCAAGTGAGGAACACCTGAACACCTGTGTTAAACTCCTGAAACTAAATGATAGGGGATTGAAGCTACCTGTGCCATTTTGCTTATATAACTGCTTGTCAGGCTGCATTGGCCAGGCTTCAAAACCATCAGTGCCTCATGTGTAAGAAAGCAGTTAAATGCATTGTGGTGAAAGGTAGAAAAAGAAAAGGCATGAGCTGTTGGATGTTTAGGCTAACTTCCATTTTGTTTTATATCAGAAGCTGTGGTGCTGCACAAGAATCCCTGGCTTCTTCTTTCCTAGGGTTAATTAGCGCCTGATTTAAAAAGCTTTGGAAATGCTGATTCACCTTAAGTACTTGCACAAGAAAAAGAAGGTATGAGAAATCACATCTGAAGAATAAATGAAAGATCTTCTTGGCTTCTTGTAGAGTTTTCTGTGATGGGGCTGAGCCCTACTACAAAGCAGAGAAGCCCCTGGCAAATTTTAGAAGGTACCTTTCCAAAATTCAGGAGGTAAATGTTTAAAGCCTGGCTTTTGGTCAGGTATTAACCAGGTCAATATTTGTCTCTGTAAATGGGTGATGCAAATCACTGTAGGCATAACCTTATAAGGATTACATTTTTAAATATTTCAGCCTTTTCAGCAACTGATTGGGAGCACCACGTATCTTATTTTTCCTGATTCATCATAAACTGTCCAAATATAGACCGTCCGAAGCTGCCCTAGCAGTGCTTTGTGTCTACTGTTTGCAATGGAAAAGCAGGGCTGAGTACTGAACATACTCCTTGTTGACAGAGAAACCAGTTACCATGTCAGCAGCTTCGCTGTAACTGCTTACGGGCCAGAAAAACAATCACTTCAAAAAATAAGCTTGATCCTAAAAGTTGATGAAAGATAAAGCCACAAGACTAACAGAGCTGGAACATGGAGTAAAGCCCCTTTGCTTAGATTTTTGCTTAGGTTTTTAAGGGATCTAACACTGTTCCCATCTCTTATTTTTTTGCAGAATGGCAGAGCCTCATGGTTTGGTGGAGAGATTGGAGAAAGCAGTGACTCGGCTCGAATCGTTATTCTCAGGTTCGCACAGAGCTGCTGGAATGGAGTGTGATGCAGTCAACGGTGTCAATGGAAGTAAGCAAGCTTCTTTGGAAATATTGTCTTTTCCTAATAGGAAAACATGGTTTGTAAGAAGAATGTGTGCTTGTTGTAGGAAAGGGAATACAATCCCACCCCCTAAGACTTTCACACTAAAAACATCGTTTCAAAAAACATATTCAGAAATGGCATGTGACAAACTTGGCCATAAGCATAATGGTAAATTAATATAGATGAGCAGAGTCAAGATTTGAGTCATCTCTTGAATATACTGGCCATATTTCAAGCTTTATTGCTATTTCCATTTTAGCATGTACACATTTACAGATAGCTCATCAGTTCAAAATGTCTGCTTGACCCCAATTAGCAGAAGAAAATAGATGGCCAAAAAATTTACAACGTAAATATTCCCAAAGAAGTCAGAAACATAAAACACTGAGTTTCTTCTTTAGTCCATGGATATCACAGTGCAAAGCCATTTCCTTTAGTTGCCTAATATCCTTAATCAGATGGGAATCTCTTTGTAAGCATTTGCTCACTAAAAACAGCCACGCATCCTTGGCCTTATTTTGTATTCTCTCTTGGCTTTTCCCTTTTGAAGTGAATCTCCAAAGCACTTCATTGGAGAATAGATGAACAAAATCTACTCTCATTTATTTGCTCCATATTGCTAAATCACATTTTTTCACTCCTTAAATTTCTTGTTGTTCCTAAAATTTACAGGGTAAATAAACTTAGAGATACAGCAAATCTAACGACGCGTTAGAGGGGCTCTCACCCTTCTCAAGTGCTCGCTTCTTCAGGCAACTACGCTCCTCCCTACGCGCTCCCCCTTTCTTAACTGAGTATCTTTGCTTTCCACATCCCTTGGCCCTGTGCTCTCCAGTGAAGAAACGTGACAATGGGGGCTCAGCTGCCTTGCAGAATGAGCAGAGAGCCACAGAAGTGAGTTACGGAGCTCAGCTGCTCTACTGTAGCTGTGTGCCAGGCCTTCCTCACCAAACGCTGGTCAGAGTAAGCTTAGTAATAGCTTCTCAACAGTGCAGCAATAATCTAAACAGCTAGAAAACCTTAACAAAGTCAGGGAGAAGTGTGATCCATGCACAAAATGATAGATAATTGGTACTAGGATCTCCAAATTTTCCAAAAATACAGGCTTCCCTCCTGCAATAAAACCCTTGAAGTGAATCTCAGTAGCATCAGGGCTGCTTTCAGAACTGGAGGTCAACGGACTGTTAGGTGCTCACACAGAAGTTGCCGGACCCATTGCCTAAGCTGAGAGCTAAGCTGTGAGCTGAAGAGATCCACCCCATAAGGAAGTACAGCCTTGAACCCAAGCAGAGCCCCTGGAGAAACACTGCCTCGTATGGAGACACATGTAGTTAGGGAAGACTCTACCAGTCCTTCAGCCCGGGGAACAGGTAAACTGAGGTGCCACGCACACGGTTCTGCAGGCCAGTGCTCCTGTGTCGCTGCAGAGATTCACGTGGTCCCCAGCAGTTGCAGAGTTGACAGCCTTACAGAAAAGGGCTCTCTTTCTTTTTACTGCTTTAAAATTGAAACTCAGCCAAAGAACGTAACATTTTTAGTCCTTAGTGGAGATGGGAAAGTGAAGTGGCTAGTGGAATGGAATGGAGATACATTGCTTTCTTCTCCCATGACCCCTCCCGCAGATGACCATGACAATTATTACAAAAAATATGCTTGACCCTTTTATTAATGCTTTTTAATGCTTTCTCAGAACTGGCAATATAACGGGGAGGGTGGGAGCAAGGTACCTGCACCTTTTTTTCCCTAAATTGTATTACAGTGGCAGAATTGCAAACCAGTCATTCAGTTGTTCTGTACAACCCACAGCAAACCCTAGTAACTGTTCTTGGATGTTAGCTGTATTGAATAGTTAAAAAAAGCATAGCTGCTTTCTGGTTTTGCATAGGACAAGTGCCATTTGGTGAGCTGCTATTTAAAACTCTGCTCTGAAGTAGAAGGCTGCAATGATTCTCCTGGAGGCACCCGTAGACTCTGACAAAGAACGTTAAATGGGCTTTGGAAAGCATCACCCTACTAAAACCTTTTGTACACTAGGTCATTTGAGGGGTTTACATATAAACACTTAATATGGAAGAAAGCCCAGAAATTCTTCAGAGTTAAAGGTGAGTGACATCAAGGGAACAAAAGGAGCCTCAAAATCCCACCCAGCTGTCTAACTGCAATTTTTTTTTTCACAGACCATTGCAAATTCCGCTTGCCAGAGCCTTTCTTTTTCCCTGTCAAAGAGCCAGATGACTCTTAGGGAATAAAGAGGGCTTTCAAGACTATGAATTTGGGCCCAGTTGTCATATACTGCCAAAAGGTTAAAGCAAACTCTCTAGGGAAAGCCTGGTACCTCTTCAGAGCAGTCTTCAGGCTTCATTAAGGAGGCAGAGAGGCTGGGAAGAATTTTAACATTGGTCTCTCAGATCTTACAGATGCCATAAATTCACACATGTGTCACTCTTGCTGGACCTGGCAAAGGTTATTCGGCATAAACAAGACACAAGGATATGTCAGGGAGCAAAAGGGAGAGCTGGAAAGCATCCCGGAAAAGATTACTTTTGCTGTCTTAGAAGGTATCACACAAAGCCATTTAGAGAGTCAGTTATGTAAGAAACTCGGTCTAATCTGGGCTTTCTGATTGTCCACTTTATCAGGAAAGGGCATGCTCCATGCCACACAGAAAACAGCATTTTTATTCCTGTGCCAGAATACACAGCACATACATAGCCCCTGGGATGTGTGGCCTAGAAGACTGGCTTGGGTTTTCCTTCTCCAGTGACAGCTTTGCAAGGTCAGACAACAAAAGCAGGGGATCGCAAGGCTGCATCTCACTGCATGCATTGACTGGCAACAGACTGACTCCTTTCAGGTAGAGAAGTGTTGATATCTACAGACTCAGCCAATTGAATTACTCGTTATTTATGGCCACCCATTAATACAGAGACATTCAGGAAGGAGTGAGTGGTATAAAAATAGTTGTTTGGGACATTCTTTTTAGGGGATGACTTTTTTTAATGTACAGTAATAGAATTTTGTTAAGACGGTTCAGGCCGTTAGGCTTTCGAAGGGCTGAGGCACGTTAACTTTAGCACCTGTTATTCTAGCTCGGAAGAGGCTTGTCACATTTAGTACACAGATTACATTCTCTTCATGCTTCTAACCAAGTTCTAGGGGTTTTTTTTCCTTCTAGCTACAAAAGAAATCATTATACAACCTTCTTTCCCCCCACAGATCTCACAAATGAACGAGTGCAGCAGAAACAAGGTTAAAGCAGCTTTCCCGTTTCTATGGCATTTCCCCTCCATGTGCTGCAAATGAAAGCTCTATACATTAGGTACTTTAGGAACCAATTATAACGGAATGCTCTTCTTCCGTAGGCATAGCACCATATGTTGAAGCCTTTGATAGGCTGCTGAATGGGAGTGTTGCTGAGTTTCTCAGGTACAGCAAGATTCTCGAAGGTGACGTCAAGACACACGTGAGTGTTTATCCCAGTTCTCCCACACGATACGCGCACAAGTCTTGGGGCTGCAGGGTTGCCCAGTGTCAGCGTATCTGAGGAACCAGTTGTCTCAATTATTATTTCTTGTAGCAGGACTAACGCTGGCGTAAGACACTCAGACATTGGGTTGGGGAAGGACTAATGGCTACATGGATACACAACAAGGGGCAGCTCCTCTTTTCCAGCAGCAGAGCCCAAGGGCTGCAGCACAAATATTCTGAATTGCAAGTCATTTGAGTGTTCCTGCTGGCAGCTGAGCCCTTTGCAGGAATACAGTTCAGAACGAGCTTCAACAAATGAGCAGCAAAGAGTAGGAAGAAAGGCAGAGCAGAGCAGTAATAACTGTTTTTGCCTCTTCTGCGTATGTATATCATCACATCAGTTCATTTAAAGATTTTGCTTTTCTTTCTGCCTTTTGTCACATCTCTCCCATTCAGAAATGTCAAAAGAGAAAAGAAAAAAGCAGACGTATCAGACTTTACAATGTGCGTTTTTTCCCCATGTGTCAAGGCAAGGGAGTACTATGGTGTATTTTCACAATGAAATAACTTTATAGCCTTCCTCATAATATGTCATGATCAGAGCTTGTTTGTTTAAGGTTATTTTTTAAACCTGTCTTCTCTGACGTGGCAAGGACACATCTGACAGTTCACCACAGCTTATCAATATCAGCTTTGCCAAAAAAAAAAAAAAAAAAAAAAAAAAANAAAAAGAAAAAACAAACAAAAAAAAAGAAAAAAAAACAGAAAAAGAGGCAGGGCCAGTTTGAGCTGAGTTGGAAGGAGTGTGAAGAGTGTGCGCTGATCGCAGCAGCTGCTGCTCCACATCACAAACTCTGCAGCCAGAAAAAAGTGTGCAGCCCTGCAAGCTACTGGAACTGCACAGGCAGCGTCTGTGCTTTGTAAGAAAGTCAGAGGAACCAGTGTATGGAACAAGGGCTGTGACTGTTGGGAGAGCTGTGGTTTCTTTGTGGTGTTACATGTTTTGTTGGTAGACTAGAGTTTCTGGTTTAGATAGGCCCAGAATATTGAAGGGAGTAAAGAGATGGGACAATTTTGGATGGACAGTTTTAGCTTGTGTTTTTACAGAAATTCCTTCTTATTTGAAAAAGACATTGTACCTTTACTGTGTTACTGTAAGTTAGCCTTTATCTACCTTGCTCTTAAAAGACATTATAGGAAAATAAATATCCCAAACAATGCTAAAACAGATCCTTTCCAGGTCATAAAGTTCACTGGGCACCATATTTTGCAGTTGATTTCTCAGCAGTCTTAAACTGCAAGATACATATATAATTTTAGTAGTGCACATTGGTAGTGCACCCCAACACTAAACAGGGCAAGAACTGTATTTAAAATTCCAAATGACTAAAGCTTTTTAAAATTCATGTGTAAATAGTGTAAATATATAAATGTATTAATTTACACATTTGTCACTGACACTCACAACCGAGTCCATATAAAAGAATATTTATAATTTATTTGCCAAGTTTGTGGATAGTCCCTAGCATATTGTTGATGATACAAGCTGTAATAAGGAATATTTGCTCAGGACTGTGAGATAAGACATAAACAACTTGCCCTTGCACAAAGAAACTGGTGATTCTGATTGCAGCCTATTAAATATTCTGAAATCTTAGATTCTGAATTTACAACACGAAGCAGACTATGGTTGCCTTATGCTCCTACTTATCACTGCAGCAACATCTGTGCTTTACCTTAACGAGTGGAACAAGGAGTGTTTTTCTTCGGGGTGTCTTATAGACCATGTGTCCTCAGCATTATGCTTGCAGCTGCTGTCTCTTCCACATAATGAGCTGAAGGGAAGGTTGTATTTTATTTCAAGAAACACCTGTTGCCTAGAAAACCTCACATACCTGACTGACCAGAATGGTAATATGAGAGAAAGCGAGATCTCATATTATGCTAAAGAAATAAGGGATTTAACATGATGTATTTCATGCTGATTGATGTAAGGATTGTGTGGTTTATGTTTCTCGTGAAAGGACAAATACAGCCATAACTAATATCTGTTGGGGTTCCCCATTTCTTTTCTTTTTAGGCTATATGCTGCACTCTAAATCGTCTATTGAAAGAGAACAAAATGAAGAAGAGAATAGATAGCTCCTTCCTAGCCCTTTTAAACACAACAGCATGGAGGATTTTACCAGATTAGTTTACTAAAGAAGAGTTCTGCTTAGGTTCTGTCTAATAAGCAGCATAGTTTGGATTCAAATTACAGTATGTGCAAGGGTGACTCTCTAAGGTCAGCTCACTAAAGAAACTAACTTTTTAAAAGGAAAGAGAATAAATGGCTCTTTTTTTTTTTTACTTAGTGTATTAAAAGATATATCCTAAATGGTTAAGATTAGATCTTCTTTGCTGTCCTGCCCCATAGATAAAAATTTGGTGATTATATGGGTATTTCTATAGATTACAAAGTTCCCAAGTGGCACAGAGTTTCTGAACCACTCGCATGCTGCCCCTAACAAAGCCGGACCCCATGTGAAGCCAGTGGGGGAATATGGACCAGGACTGCTGCCAACCGGCTGGCCTTGGCCTCATGCAACAGTGTCTTGGAGGCTGTCACCAACTGTTACAGGTTAGAACAGCCCTCAAGCTGGCTGACCAGGTGTGCCAGTGTTAGACCAATCTTCTGTTAGACTGAGGGAATTCAAAGGCAATATGAGGTGTGTATATATATCTATATATATATACACACACACACACATATATATGTACTTTATATTGATGTA